TGACACTACACATTAGGGCTTAAATTACTGATAATGCTAGGAGGAAAAACATTTTTTTCTGCTGCATCATCTTACGGTTTACTTGAAGGGTTACGTGCCAAACACGAAGAAGCACGCATCCGAGATCACTTCGAAGTTATACATGACTAGGGAGATCGTTCAGGTGAGTTTCCCTTATTTTTGCCAGAATTGATAAGGTTTCCCTTTGCTTACTAGTTTCATATTGTAAAAAACCACATTCTTTTTTAAAGGTTCTATCGGAAGATCCCATTCGTCGCCCTGCTATACTCAAACTGGATTGTGAGTTCAATAACCGATATCTAATCGTTCTGTCTTGACATGGTCAAACGTTTAACCTAGAGTACAACTGAAGCTACAAGAAATTAATTCAGCTTCGTGAACGCTATTCCCAAGGATGAAAATCACCGGAATAAAGGCGCTTGCTTAAGTAGATAACTACTGCTTTTTGAGAAATGCAGTTTAGAACACGGGACAGTAAATCCTGTGCGAAGGAGAAACCGGAAATCGGGGTGCCTGTCACAGTTGACAGCCGTGAATATGGCTTAGGGTAAGGAGGTAGTCAAAAGAGTGGATGTAAGGACTACTTATTTTCCAATTATTGTGGTTACTGGTACTAAATGATGGTAATGTGTAACGGGTGCCATCACAGCCACATCCTATCGAAACGGTGTTCATTTGAATGGCGTGTCCTCACCTGACTTACAGCGGCCAAGGCCCATTGTTTGCGTCAGCAACTCGCAAAAATGCGTTTCACTTATAAATTGTTCCTCGTCGACCTTGACGACAACCTAATGACTTAAGCTCAGTGGTTAAATTAACAACCCAAGATGAGGTGTTGTCTAGGAATGTGTTATGTGGGTGGAATAGAGTCGTCTACGAGTATCACAGATGGGCTGATCCCACTGCACGAAAGTGCACCCAATGGCGCTAGGGCCTTACAGAGTGGTCTAATGGCGACTAATGTATAAGATAACTCCCGCACACCCAATGATACGCGCGTGAGTTAAGGCGGCGTGGCTAGTTCAAACGTGTGCGGGTTAATGGAGCAAAGAAGCAAGCCAGCTCACAAACTCGTCCGGTTCCGCCCCTTCCTTATTTCAAAAAGGAAGAGATGGAAATCATGTTAAATGCTCCATCAGCAGTTTGCTTTGGTTACTTTTTCCATTTTCAGTCAGTCCGGCATCCACAATTTCATTATCGACCTCTTTCCCCACAAATTTGATCTGGGGCTGCTGCTTTGAAATTCGAGATCAAAATCTACAAATGAAGAATGGGAGCTTGTTTTTGAGAGAGTCCACGCGCGCCTAACTATCTACAAGACTGGTTTTTTACAGAGGGCATTGAACGGCGAAAAAAATCTCTAAAATTTCACCTGTACTTTAGCCTCCAAACGAGCGTGTCGGCGTCGTTTAATGACCACGTACGACCGTAGTTTAATGGCTGATTCAGATTTAGACAGCCACGCGACGTGTTCCATAAGGTGACATTTCGTGATAAATGTGACGCGTGACGTACGAACGTTTTTCAAATATCTTCCTCAAAGATCTGAACGAAGGATTCGATAACAAGGGCCCGGTTGCACAATGGGATCTTCAAGCTGCTGGTTCACTACGATTCGAAACATTTCAAAGCCTCAGATCGAACTCTTCGTTTTCCGGTAGACAAGTCATGCCGACGTCACATGAAAACACTTCAGCTAATGCAGTCTAATTGCGTACACCTAGAGACTACCGTAACTTTGCCTAGGGTAATTCGATGCCCTGATTACGAAAATGACATTCATTTTTAGCGGTGGCGCCATCTGGCGCCAGTTGGCGTCACCTTGTCACGACACCTGTTTTCACCAAATTCGGTGTAAACTTCCGTATAGGGGTTATTTGTGTCCTGATTACGAATATGACATTCATTCTTGGCGCTGGCACTGTATGCACCCTCCCACTGGTTAGGACGGGAAATATGTAAGGTTAAAATGAGTGTCATGTTTGTAACAGATTACCAAACAGCCAATCGTTCGTTAGCGATAATCCTCGACAGAATTGATGGGGAGGGGGGAGAAGGTCTATTGGCCCAGTGAGAGGAAGGGGTCGAGCTGGATCGATGCAGTGAGATCACCATCTTCGGAGGACTCCTAAAAAACCATAAGGAGTGATCGATGCTGAGCAAGTTGTCGGTATTCCAATGATCGAACGTATCCGCTGCATGCAATTTTTCGTGTACAAAAGGGACGCGTGTATAGCTGTCGCCCGTATGTGATTTAATTTACGCAAGGTTAGAATCCGATTCCTACTTGCCGAGACATTTATCTCTCCAAGATCCCCAATCAAATAAGAATGTGGTGCACGCGCTCCTGGAGTGGCCGCCCAATCAGCTGCGCGCTTGCAACATATCCTAACAGAAAAAATTCGAATTAGGAAAAGGATTTGAAAGGGCCGTGAAAATATATAGAGAACCGGCTCACAAGTCAAGAAATGCACTTTTCCCCTTAAGTTTATAACCATATAATCATTGAATTTGGAATTTGGTGCTGACTTTTACACTTTTTGGAAAATAAAAAGCTCGTGGATTCCGCATCTGCTTTCTTTTTGTAAGAAATCATCCCTTAAGGGTGCTATAGTCGTTAAGAGTGCCTATACGAGGAATGGACTCTGCTCGGGCTAATCCTCATCGTCTTTGCATTTGCCATTTTGAAAATACACAAATAGAGTAACATTCCACTAACGGTTGAATAAGCAAATCTCTGTTTTCTATGGCTAATGCCCCTCTAGATCTGCAAATTGAAGGAACTTATGGCTTATAAAACTGTGGAACCTCATCCCCAAAAGAAATTTGCGAAAATCCTCACTAGCCGTTTTCAATGACAGTCGTCTGTGTTGTTCGCTAATGGATAGGGAGCGGGAAAGAGTCCGTATCCAAAATTTTCTCGATCGCTGCGGTTACTCCCATAATATCAAGTAGCACTTCTCAGCGACCGCTACACCAAGAGCAGATAAGTTAGCAAACTGTGAAGATAACTTGCTTCCCATCAATGATTGCATTAGTCTCCTCATTCCTCGTCTATTTATCTCCCACGGGTCGATGAAAAGATACTCTGACAATGACTACTAGTTACACCAGTGGCCCTCGTAGCCAAAATCAGTCTCGGTCAATCCCGTATTTCTCATTGTTCTAATGAACCGTACTTTTCATTAATCAATCCAAAGGCATTCTATGGAGAACGGCGTGCTTATCGAGTTACTCACCTTGACGACAGCATGCGGTCGACTAGTTTGGCCAAGCGTTTCACGGATGTCCAAATATTAACAGCCGCAATGGACATTGTGGCAACTATAGTTGCCACACCCTTTACATTCAGTTTTTTCTTGAACGCGCCATTTCTTCCCAGGTTTTTTGTGTTCATTTTTAGGCCATACCACAACATAACCAAGAACCACGCGGCTTATAGAACGACCAAATATTGTTACTGTTGCAGAGGTTTTTCGGACCGATACGAAATATCCGTTCAGTTCATTCCTCATTTTCTCTTCATTAACACGAACATGTAGATAAAAAAGAATATTAGAAGTGAGTACAAAGCTACTCGTGTGGCAAGATATGTGTTTTTACCGAAACAACCACGTCCAAAATAATTTTGAAATCACTAAAGCAAAAGTAAGTGAAACTTGCCTTTTCAATGCTGTAACACATCATTCGACCGCACTTTCACATGTGTACCTTCCAATAAGTTTGACACACCGAATATCAGTGAAAACATTTTGTCGCATCGAAGTATTGCGTATTTAAAGCTCAAAACTCCAATAGCTTTGTTGTGAGGCGGCGGCGCTCGCAGAACCGCTCTTGTCCCACGCGGCCAAAAATGCCAAAACGCGCAGATGTCAGTCATTCAAGTTTAATCAGTCTACTGATGCTCTCTTCTAACGCGTCCAGCGCTTATTGTGAGGCTTGTATACGTATAAGAAAAAACCTTTCCATAAATCGCACGAAATCTCCTATTTCTTAGCGTTCACGTATCCTAGCAGTATCGACCCACATGATGACCCTTCTCCTGAATAGAGCCCCAAAGGACCCCCTCTCGCTAACACTTCTCTCTATTTCAGTCAGTGGACTGTAAAAAAAATTTGCCCTCAAATCTTAGAACAGCAAACACTACCCCTTCAACTTCTATTTATCATAGTGGCACCACTGCAACCCCTTCACAATCCTTTCAACCCTATTACAAAAACCCAAATACACCCACTTTGCATTGCCCTGGCGCACGGTTGACCCTGTATCCTAGCGAGAGAGACTCCAAATTCAGTGTAATCAAGCACAATTCACGTTTTGACCGGTGCCACGTCATTTCTGGCGAGCTTTCTGTGAGAAAAAACTATAGATATATGTAGAAACGGAGTAATTTTCTGTAAGATGCCAGTACGAACTTCCAGGTCTGGAAAACAAACGATGTTGTAAAGTCACTCGAACGGAATGTCCCGATGGTTCACAACCGAAACTTGTCAAGCGATACTATAGACCAGTAAGTGAAAGAGTATTTATACCAGTTCACATATTGGCTCTGACAGATCACCAATGAATGAACGAGGCTGAAGAAAAGTGTGATTATGGCGCGATAACATTGAGGGCTCGACGCAGACATCTTCCTTAAAAACCCTGTACATTTATAACTCCTGACATTCACATTTGCATTTTCAACGGATTTTGATCTAAAATGATTGAAAATGGAAGTGCGTTGCGCTCGCAAAAGGAGCGAGCACTAATAGCAACTCTATATCTTGCCACCAATAACCGATATTACCTTTGGACGAGTAGTTGGGTCTTCCTTCACTTGGTCTTAGCCTAGTTCAATTGGTATTAAATTTTAGCCGAGAACGATACCGCGCATGCACATAATTCTGAAGAAGATCCGCGTCATAAGGGATACTTTCCTGGGTACCCGACAGGAGGCCCCTTGCGCGGCGAGATGGCAGAGACGCAGACGGGTAGCGGATGAGTAGCGCTTACTACGCGATGTGGACACGTTCTATGTTACACATTTAATTTGACGCAAAATCGCTTTATTACGGGCTTCGTCTCGTCCACCGACACGCCTGCGTCTCTATCATCCCGACGAGCCTTCTGTCGGATACCCTACTTACTTTCACGAACCGCACAAAGATTGCACACTGCTTCTCGTTTCTCAGCGTTTTCAGCATAGCTTAAAATTTTGATCGATAACGTATGATCCCAAATCTCAGTATCGTCCGGGTTAACAAGCCAATCGTTCCGCCAGGGTCAGCTACTTGATGCCTAACTCCTCCTGCAAAGGGATTGCACCATATTTCATAGCTATTAATGTATTTACCAAAAATGCATCCCATACCGTGCCGGACGAACCTGAAAATTTATAGCCCATTCCAAGAGTAGTGAAAATTAATCGTGGCTAGCTTTTTTATATTACAGCGTGGATCGGACACCTGCCTACCGTATCACTATCCGAGATGCTCTCCAAACGAAGAAATGGAGGAACAACCAATACAGTATGAGCAGAACTGCCAAGATCTCTGTTTCGCAGGACCAGAGAAGCGCATTGCTCCACTACTTCAACTGGCCATTGAAAAGTGATCACTGAACGACTGCCTTTCATCAATACTCACATCCTGATTTTCGGTCTATCTATCTTAATAATTGTAATATCTATATTAATAATACTATAATACATTAGTTATAAACCAGCGCATGTGCGTATCTTTTTTTTCCCCCCAGGTAATGCTTGGGGAAGAAAATTCGATACTGACCATGTTTGTAATTCTTACATCTGCAATTTATACACTTACGATTTCCATGCCGTCAAACCGCTCTCCTCAAGTGATTCTCGCCTTCTTTTCACATATCGTGGCCTTCCAATGAGCATTTAAACAATGTGGTCAAACAAGCTCATGACACTTTTTTATTATTGAATTAATAAATATTTTGGTCTTGAATAGTGAAAGGAGATAGAGACGGTTGGAGTGCATCAAGGGTCAGCTCTGAGCCTGTCGTTTCTCTAAACGCTCAGATCCATGGTGATAGGGAGATCATGGAGGACCATGCGGAAATTCTACGCGCGACATAGCTTGATAGCGCGATGCAGGGCCTAAAGCAAGGTTGCGAGATGGCGAATGTCTGGCAGGGAGGGCCAGTTGAATGTCCAGAGAAGACAAGTTCCGGAGTTCGGAGAAGGGTTGCGAGCGATAGACGGCATGGTAGACTTATAGAAGATGGGAGGACTATCCGCTACCTTGCAGCGATTTTTTTTTCGTGGCGCTGCGGGCGCGTGTGGATACAGGTGGTGAGGGATCGGCTGTTAATGAGCATGGATGAATGGAGAGAGAGCTGGAATCCTTGCCCTCGAGGTGCCTCAGCGCTCAAAGGAAGGTGTACCGGACAGTCGTAAGGCCTGCGATGCTATACGGCAGCGAGTGCTGGCCCCTGAGCAAGAACCACGAAAGGCAGCTTCACTCCGCTGAGATGAGGATGCTGAGGTGGGCCTGCGGCTGGACGCGGCTGGACAGAGTTAGAAACGAAGATGTTAGAGCGGTCATGCAGACTGCCCCTGTCCAGCTGAAGGTACGGGAACAGCGTCTACGATGGTATGGGCATGTGCTAAGGAGGCCATCGATGGAAGCAATGGCCGTCAAAGTGCAAGGCAGCGACAGCGGGACCCAAGAGAAGGGAGAGTGATGCAAGAGGATCTAAGTGGGTTAGAAGCGGGCTGGAAGTAAAAAAAAAAAAAAAAAAAAAAAATAAAAAAAAAAAAAAAAAAAAAAACATGGGCGATGACAAGACCGGCCCTGTGAATGCGGGGATACGCTAGGGAGAGAAGATAATTTAGAAGAAGAAATGTTTTGATCTTGAATATGGAAATTCAATAACCTAGGTGGGAGGTGAACGACTATGCGGTGGCCCAGTTTGCCATTGGACTTGTGGTATGATTCGAGCTTAATCATGAACTATGTATTTGCCTGTCCCGAGACCCCAGGGTAACTTAGTGGTAGATATTTGATAATGTGCGGGACTTCGTACAGCTTAACCCTTTCGGCCCTGGCGGTGGCCATTGCCACCACAAATTCAAATGCTTGCATTGCCGTTGAAGCATGCTTTTTCTAATCCTGCTAGAGTTGCTTTGGTCAACCTTCCCCTTCCTAATTATGAGCTACCTGCCATTTCATGGTGTGTTGCTGTTAGTATTTCAAGTATTTGTGTACAAGTGCAGCAATGAATCGGCGCTGGTCCCGCAACGGGCCATGGGTATCACTTCGGACTCAAATTACTTTGAGAAGATATTCTTTACCCCCTTTGACGACGTATGGCCCGCCGGCGGGCCTTTGGCAATAATATTGGTTAGTTCGCATTTGGTGATGTTTTTGGGAGTTTTTCATTATGTCCGTACACAACTCCCACAAATCTATGTACAGGTGTATTATTATTGTTTCTTTAAAGAGAAAAGGATAAGAACGAAACCCTTCTAAGTAATCTTAAGCAGATCTTTTCTTTCAAACGAATAGAAGCTAGGTGTGATTTTTTGAAAAATCGGGCGTAGCTTGAGTCATTATTGCACTAGATATTCCTTTTATGATACTTCGATGGACGCATTCGTGGGGCTCAACAACTGGTTTGGCCTCGGAAAAATATTGTCAGTATGTGCTAGAAGAAATTGTAAGTAAAGGAGGAGTTCTGGCAGGTGAGCAGAGGAGTACTTGTCAACAAGCCATAGTTACCTACAACTCCATGAGTCAAATATTGCAATTAGCGGCGTTACAACGCTAGTGGATAACGCGGGTACCCCCCAGGAGGCCCGTCGCGCGGCAAAATGCCGATTCAGCGGACGAGTTGCGCGCGTATTAGGGAAATCGCGTCAAGTTAAATAGAATGTCCCATTGCACGTCCTTCACCGCACATCACGCGCCGCGACTCGTCCGCCGACTCGGCCTTCTTGCCGCGCGATGGGCCTCCTGGGGGGGACTAACGTTATTATTCGCACACATTAGTGCAAGAAAGAAGTTAAAGGATAAAAACCGTGCACTGGATTTATTAAATTTTGAATTACGTTTTGTGTAGAAACGAGTTGTTTTCATTAGTCTGGTATTTCAACAGGAGTATCAATATTGCTTAGAATCTGAAGGTTTTTTCTTAGTCTTCTTTTTTCTTCTTTGCTATATTTATCTGCATTAGGTTGTAGGGTTGATTTACGACGAATATTGAAGAAAGTTTGCAGTTGGTCAATGTTGTGCGTCATCAAAGCAATGCCTGGTTTCCTTGGCGGCGGGACTGTGATGCTTGGCGTGCGGTCCCACGTGGCCAAATGTTTAGCCGCGGTCGTCACGTTAATCAAAATTATGGGTTATAATGTTATGCAAGATTATAAACTTTTTCGGCATAACTATGAAATTTGGAATTGTTTCGACATAAGCTTAAAAACTAAGAAGGTGGGCCAATTTTCAAAGCTTCTTAGTTTCTTTGTTTGTGATCGAATAGCTTCCAAATTTCGCCATAATGATACCTATATGCTCACAAGTAATAAACAATAGCTAGAAGAAAAATTTCTCCACGGGGAAAAATTCAGGTCCGAAAGGGTTAAAATACCTATGATCTCGAAAGCTCTCAGCTTTTTCCCCAATTTTCTTCTCTTTTATTGGAATTGATTCTTTGAAAGCGAAAATATTGCTTCATAGAAATTCCTTTATGTTAAAGGCACGCTCCGCGATCAGGCGGGCTCGCCTGTTCGTACGCATTTGAGGCAGTGGTCCCAGCGCGATCCAATGTTATTGACACTGGAGCAAGTAGAGTTAGGTTCGTGAAACTCGTCCAATTCGCCTCTTCTCTATCCCAAGGTGGAATGTGGCTGAAATAGGGGAGGTCTCTGTACGGGGCGTAATCGGTGGTTTCGTTTGCTTTCCTTCTCTTTTACAGACCACCTCCCACCTATAGCTTCATAACTGAACGCTTTTCCACACCTATTTTATCCCGAATCTTGCCTTTAACCAAATAAATGCAAGCAAGTGTAGTGAATAGGGTCGAATGACCTATCGAAAGTCGCAGAAAAATTTCCCAAAAGAATGTTTTTTCTGGTTCTGTGACTCTTCAGAACAAGTTGAATGCTTGTAGGGAATCTTCTTTGACAATACTCACGTATCTCTAAAGAATCAATCGCTGGATCCGCCGTTTATCGTTGAAGGTTCGTAAACTCTCGATGTTTACAATACAGGGTGGGACATAAATATGGTGATAAGGCTGAACTCTAGCAAATGCATTACTTGAACTATGAGTAGAGCTCTTGACTAGCATTTAGATTCGCCATTGTCTTTTGTATGTAATTATGTGGTTTCAGGGCTTTATTATCCTTATTTGATGAATTACCTAATACGAAATGGTATTTGGTTTTTTGTGTTTCACGCGCTACCGGGTGGAGTCTTTTCGAGATCTAACGTGTCCTAAGGATGCATCGTCAGATCGTCCTACAACTAAATGTTATTGCAATACACATAATATTCTTTCTCGAAGATGTCGCTCAGCCGGATGCAGAGGGTGCCTGTGAATATTGTCAGAAAGCGTATCCACTCCAATTGAATTCCATATAAGATTGACTACGGCTTCGACAATATCAGGATAAACGGTACGATGCTAGATTCTTTTTATTGGTTACGAGCTGAGCAACAAAGCTTGATGTTTCAGAATTCTCGGTAATTTTCAGTGTTAGTTGGATTTTCACATCATGCAGTGTAATTTGTAACGCCCACTACTTCTGGAACCCTGTGTTTCTCTAATTGTCGTGCTACCATCCGGAGTTCTATAACCTAACCAGGAAGGTCTTTCAGGGCGTGCCAAGCTTTTTGAAAACGGTCTTTTGCATGATATAGGGGCACATGCGGGAACCACAGAACCATGGTTAATTTTTCCTGAACGGCCCTCTGAATACCAGAAAAGGGGGTCCCTAGTTCGATTCCTCGTGGTGACAAATTTTTGCATTTCGAGTTGACGTTCCAAAATTCGCGCAAAATGGAGTTAGCATGAATAATTAGTACCATATTCATGATTAGGACCGTCAGTAACCCTTACAAAAAGACTTTGACTTAAAAATTGGTGTAAGAGGTGTGACACCAAGCAGCCCCACTGTGGTGTCACACCTTTTTCACCGGTTTTTTAATGTGTTGAAGAGGGCACAGCGATGAGAGTCGCATCAATGCTCGAATCAACGGGCAAGGAAGGGGTCCCATTTCTCGGGTTCTGGGCCGTTTCTCATGGTTCTTCCTTCTTTCGTGTACCACTCACCATCCCTAGGTTAATTTGAAATGGGTTGCTTTTTCATCGTGAATTCGTCCTTTAAGCGGACCACACAATGTATGAGACCTAGTATACAATGTTCTTACAATTTCATCGAAACATCGATGCATTGCACTGCATCGATGTTGCAAATGCTCGTGGATTTCGCCAAGGAAGAAGTTAACAAAATTTATATGTCTCTTTATTACGCTCACATACAAATACTTGGTACATCAATTGAGTACTTAGTAACAAACGGATATCCATGTTCAATCATAACACCTCGTTGAAAACAGTAACGGATACGGATATGCAGAAGTGGT